GGTGGGGGGATGCATGGCGCAGAGCTGCAGGGTACGAGGGGAGTGGGCAAAGGGGCACAGGCAGTGCCCACTGGCTGCAGCACATGGCTGTGGGGTGGGTGCACCACCCTGCCTGCTCCCCATGTGACACCCTACAGCTACGCCCTATCATTCCTGTGTGGAGGGGGCACACAGGGACAGACAAACAGCGAGGGTGACGGTTGCATGCAGCCAGATGCCGAGCAGCACTCTGTCCCCACCGCCTACCCATCATTCTTGCCAGGCACTTTGGCATTTGGATACATAGAGATCTATCTGCCCATTCCCCCCCTCCTTCCCTGCTGCAGTGGTGGGGGAAGGGGAGGAGCAGGCCTGGGCCCAAGGGTGGGGAAAAGCCAGGCTGCCAGGGCTGGTGGCAGCGGGGTTGGGAGGAGCAGGCTTGGGGCCAGTGCGGGGTGGGAAGGTGTGGAGGGGAGGACTGGGCCCAGGTCCAAGGCAGGGAGGAGACTGCTCCTCCCCTTCCCCAGCTGCTGTTGTGTCAGGGCACATTGGGCTGGGCCTGCTGCTCCCGCCCCACCAGACCCATTCCCCACCCCACATCGGGCCTGGGCGCACTCCTCTCCTTTCCTCACCACCATGGTATGCCTGCTGCTTCTTCCCCTGCATTGGGTCTGCTCTTCCCCCCCCCCCACCAGGTTGGCCATGGAGGCAGCAATGATGGAAGCGGGGAGGGGCAGGTGGAGGCCAGCGCCATTGGCCTCACCCCCCTGCAGCATCCTGACTCCGCTCTCCCCCTGGGCCGCTGCCATCACCTGCAGCAAAGGGTGTGAGGCCAGCTCTGGTGGCTGCCCCCCTGCTCCATCGTCACACCTACAGGGAGCAGGCTGGAGGGTAACAGCTAGCCTTACCCCCCATCCCGACATCATGGCAGTGCATTGCCACCTGTCCAAATGTTTCTTCACACTCTGATTGGCTATTTGTCAGCCAATCAGAGCGCTAATAAAGCATTATGGACAGACAGATAGATTAAGGCTTTTATCTTTTTTTATACACACACACACACACACACGCATGCATGAGAGAGAGATATATCTATAGAGAGATCTCTCATTTTTTTCATATATCTATCTAGAGAGACCCATCTGTCCATCTCTCTCCACACACACACACACACACACAGAAGGAGAGGGATCTATATATCTGTATCTATTTAAATATTGTTTTATTGATGTATTTAAAATTTTAAAGCAATTTGGAAGCCTACCAGTGCATCAATCACTATAATAAAATACACTCTAAATACCTATACATTTTGGCATTTGATTTTGTTTTTAATTATGGAAAATCTGAGCTCCCCCTGCCTGCTTTGCACACCATGATGCAGGTCCAAGCCCCTCACTGCTCCCCCCCCATAGCCCCATATGCTCCCCCTGAGCCCTGCTGGAGGGGGCCCCCAGCTGCCAGGGTTACAGGGCCAGGGACCTAGGTCTGCAGCCCCCTGCAGCAGTGCCCAAGTCCTTGCTGCCTCTTGTGTGGGAGGTGGTGGCTGCTACAGCAGCTGCTACAGCAGCCCACTGGCAGTGCAGCTGGAGCAGAGCCTGTGGTGGGGGGTGGGGACAGGTGGGGGCTTTCCTCTTCAAGCTCAGGCTCCCTGCCCTGCTGCCCTAAAAACCATAAATCCATCCTTCAGTCTAACTATCAACCCTTTAATATAACTGTACTCCACCCCCTGGGGACACAACTGTTAAATGCAATAGAAATGGTGAGAGAAAAAACAGTTTTCAGAGGGCTAGCAGGAGCCCTAAAAATAGTGGGAACTAGTCAGTTTCAGGGCTGCCACAACACTGACAGCTAATTAAACACCACTGATTAAATATACCATATTGTCAGTGCTGTGGTTTTAGCAGCCCCCACACTGTCTAGCTCGCTTCATTTTCAAAGTGTCTACCAGTAGTTTCATTGCTATTGCCAGCTTTCTTCTTTGGAAAAAAAGTTTCTACCTACATTTTAGAGGTGTCTGGAAAACAACCAGTATTTCATAAAACACTAATGTTCAACATTACTTCCCCCTTTGTTTCAGAATCTTTTGTGGAAAGTGGGAGGAGAAAGAAAAAATAAGAATATCCAAGCAGTCAAGAGACTGTGGCACTAATTGTGGCACTAATCCAGCAATGTAGAAAATTCAAGTTCAAATCCTGTCCATTTACAAGAGACCTGACCCTGGGTTCTCCCATGTTCCAAGTGACCACTAGCTTTAAAGAGCAAGTTAGTATTTGTCTCTCTCCCAATGATAATTTATTTAAACAAAAATGAACACAGCTTTAACAGGAAGGGGCAAGAGAAAATGCTATTACTGTGCATTGGTATGTGCACTAACTCAGGTTAAGTCCTGAAAAGTATGCCTGATAAAAGTTTCATTCAAGCTAACACATCTTCTCGAAGTGAAAGCTTTTCACTAAAAATCAGCTTCTTTTGATTAAACCATTTCAGTGAAAAATTTGACTAGTTTTACCCTTAAGTAGTGAAACAACAAAAGGAAAAGTAGTAGCTTGTTCCTGCTGCTTGATAATTCACAAGGGGGCAGCATTTCTTTACAATTCATTTTGTTGTAGGTTTACTGCTAGATCTGGTAGTGTGGAATGCTAAAACACAAAAAAGCAAAATTTTCTGAAAAATCTAAGGAAATTAATATGTTCCCATTAGATGTACAGCTGAGTTTATTAATTTGCTAGTATTTCCAAGTCACACTTTCTGAACAATATCAACACTGCAGTAATCAGAATACAGGCAAACATTTAATAAAGCATGTTTTCAAAGGGTTAAACCACTTCTTTCCATTTAACATAAGGAAGACTAAACTTAATGCCAGTTCATGGGTTAGTACTTTTGACAAGTGTAAGGTCAGCATGACAAACTATGTGAAAGAATAAATACCTTCTTCATCTTCCCATTCTAGGTCTAATGAAGTGCTGTCATCATTTCCACTTGTTGATTTTGTTTTGGTCATTAAATCACAGCTGCTCTCCGTGTTTGGGGTCAGAACAGTAGCATCAGATGAAAGTCCTACATCAAAAATGTATTTTTAAACACAAACATGTTCTTGGCTTCAAGATTTAACAGGAAAAGCAACCACTTTGACAGTGACTTTTACTCAAGATCTACTGTACTTACTAGAACCAAGACAAGGGTCCCTCCCTCTGAACCCCATTTAACATGGGGAAAGAAGCTCTTTATCCTGCATTCAGGTAGAACACGGGGGGTGGGGGGGAGCAGGTGGTTGCTGAAGCTCTGACTTTAGTGCCTACCCAGGCCCAGAGCTGCTGCTGATCCCATACTGACTCGGGTCCCCTGTTTTCCCCTCCATTGCTGCTATTTAAAAGTGTATGGTGATTTAAATAGACAATGTAACAACATACAAGTTAAAAATCTAAGCATTATCAATTATCAGTTGTAATTCATTTAAGTGTGCCATGCATATAAAGCAGGGGTAGGCAAAATGTGGCCCGGGGGCCGGATGCGGCCCGCCAGGCCATCCTATCCGGCCTGTGGGGCCCCTAAAAAAAAATTTAGAAAATATTAATCTGCCCTGGGCTGCTTGTCATGCGGCCCTCGATTGCTTGCCGAAACTCAGTAAGCAGCCCTCTGCCCAAAATAATTGCTCATCTCAATATCAAGCAACTTTTCCTACAACACATCAAATTCATATATACTTTATTTTACTAGAAGGAACTTCTGCTTGAATGCTGGATACAGTCTGAACATCTGCCTGTGATGCACAAGAGGCACACCTAGAGATGCCTCAAAAGCTTTATAAAAAAAAAAAAGCAAGGATACACGGTCCTACCTGGCCTTATTTAGAAAGTATATATTTAAAAAAAGGGCACAGTAAAAGTTCTCCTCCGAGAATGAGTCATTCAATCTGCTCCCTCAAGATATTTAGCAAACAATTAACAAACAAAACAAAACAAAAAAAGCAATGAGAGACTTACTACTACTCCGAAATGCTTCATATTGGAATTTTGTATTTCTTAAATAAGAATCAAAATCCTCCTCTGCCACTGTGCTGTAAAAACAATACATTATTACCATCACCCTGGATAATGTGTGGCATTTACAGTTCTTCAGAATGTATCTAGGTTTATCATTTTTAAGTCTCTGTGAATGGTCATCTTTTAGTGAGTCCTCATCTGGCAACCCGATTGGGGCCCTACCTAAATACTTAATTATAAAGTTGATGAAAGAAAAAGTGAGCTTATGTAAAACTACCAGGTTTACATAAACATCATTTTAACTCCCACTATTCCAAGTCCGCAACTCTGTCTTCTAAGACTGGCAAATGCCTTCCTAATTCATCTATTTTACACTTGACTAGTCTACAGTTATGACACAAATGTACAATTTAAAAGTCATTAAGAACACCACACTGGGGAAGGGGGATAATTTAGGGACTTTGAAGTGGGATGGAGTTTTGTTTGCACAATTTTAGTAACCCCAGTGAAATGCAGTACAACATAGACGCATGAATGACTATTTCCCCCCCTTGCTAACAAAAAAGTGTATGGGCTATATAAGAGAGCTGCTGAAAATCTTTTATTATTCCTTAACAATTAAAAAAACCAAAACTTTGTTTCATGTCTTACCTTTGATATTCTCCATTATTACCCACTTGGCTTCTCTGCATTATCCTTTGTAGTCTATGATGCTACCAAAAAAAAAAAAGTGTACATTGCCATCTATCAGCAAATTTTCAAGAATGAAACAGACAACATTATTTGTAAATGTCATACGATGACAAGCTGCTTTTTCCTTAGAATCTACCACCTCCAGCTCCCCTAATTTAGGGTAATCATTGTGAAACTTCACCTAAGTAAGCATCTGATTGAAAAAAGTCACAAGTATGTAATGGATACAAGCAGTTCTTTTCTTCCTAATCCCAAAGGCAGTCTTTGTAACAATTCCACATCTTAATGGAAAAGGGAAGAGCCTTCTTGCACATTTTGTATGCAAATTTGATCATGAGATGCAGCCTGCTCACAAACTACTTTTATTCCTTCTGTTTATTGTATCCTCAGTATAGCCAGTAAGGCTTTCTAGAAGGAGCTGAGATTTGAAGATCTGGTTGGTTTATTCTGTCCTTAGAATGTGATCAATAGGTAACACTGAAGCTGACATCCTAATGAAATCTACTTTTAAAAAGAGAAAGATATATTTCCTTACATGCTATTTTACTTCAGCACAAAGGAATACTGACACATTGCAAGTGTTTGATTTATACGAGCAGAAGCTTTATTTTGTTGTGGCCAAAGCTTATTGATTTGTTTAAATTCTGCAGTTTACAGGCTTCATTATATACTTGTATGCAAGAAGGGTTTGAAAAAAAGGGACAGACAGTCTAATAAAACAATCCCCTTTTCAGCCCCAAGAAGGAGGTTTCACTCATTCTTGATGTTTTAAGTTGCCTGGCATTTACTTCCTCAGACCTCTTGGACAAAAAAATCTGGTAATATATTTTAAAGGTAAACTGTTTCCCCCATAATAAGATTATTTAATACAAGCTAAAAGTGAAATTAGGATTTGATTACATAGACACACACAGTTTGCATATTTACCCAGATGTATAATAAAGAGAAGAGCAAAGAAAAGTGGGGGATAATGGAAATATGTAAAACGAAAGATTTATGTAAGCACTCTAACATGACCAGTAGGATTCTTTCTGGTTGGCTGAATGAATCTATGAAAATATATTACTTAACACAATTCTAAGTTATTACTTCAACACGTCTTCTCTTAGCAGAGGTCCTACAACACTTAGCGAACATTGCTGCATAATTAGACAATTTTCTGATGAATTGGAAAGTTATGGAATGCCTTCCTTTTCCACAATTCCATGATATTATTTGGGGGCAGAATTCAGTTTAGAGGGAGGAAAGGATAACACTGCCAGTGACCTAAATTAAGTCAATTTTGATATTAGCTACTGGTGTATGCAATAGATCCATCTTTAAATTTGTTAAAGTAGCTTCTCACAAATTCTTTGAAATTATCTCTTTATGTGGATCCAGCACAAACAACAAGAAAAGCAGCAAACTGATAAGTCCCAGGACATCTTTTTGCTAATATAACACCTAGTTAAACAATTTTTGTCACAGTGGCAACCTATACATGTGCCCGACACCTGCTCCAACATGTTCTAAATAGATTTGATTAATTGAATCTGCTGCAGCAGCCTCAGCAGCATATGTAATTCAGCATCCCCATACTTCAAAATGGTGGCCGGGGTGCTTTAACTAAAGGTTGTTGAACAAGCTTTAGTTAAAGCATTCCCGCTGCCATTTGGAAGTGTAGGACACTGAATACATGAAACACTGTGGGTGCTCTAATTAGAGTAGCTCCCAAGAGCCACTCTAATTAGAGTATCCCCCCTTTTCCCTTCCCTTGCCCACTTCGAAGCACTTGTAAAGACACCCACTGTGACTACTACTAGAATCAAACAATCCACTTAAGGCATATTTAAGAAGAATCACAGTGTCCAAATCAGATTCATAATACTATATTTCCAATTAAAAACTAGTTTGTTGATTTAGTAGAACAGTGTTTGCCAGAAAGTACACAGAAACCAACAATTGCTGCTAATTAGTACGTATTTTGAACCGATTTCTAGTTCATCATGTCAGTGTTACAGGTTGAGGTTATATTCCCAAAATATACTTTATACAATAGTTTAAAAAAAAAAAGTGTGTACTGTTTTTGTCTAGCTGCAGCTAACAAATCATTTTTGCTAATAAAAATCACTTAAAATCTTTTGTGATCAGACCTAAGGAAGAATATCTTATGTTCAACCACACAGTTGATCCAAAAAATAGATCTCACCCAAAGAAATCCTTGCTTCTCGCATAGTTTACAGACTATCATGGTTACAACACTCTTACACAACCTTAAATATTTTGAAAGATTAACTGACTTCCTCCTATCCCTCTCCACTTTTTATTGATTAATGGGATTTGGAGTCCCTTTTCAAGGAAAGTAATTTTATTAAAAATAAAAGATGTATTATAGAAGTCTTAAGAAGGTCTATTTTAAGCACAGAAAGGAGCAGAAACAAAAACAAAATCCAGAAGTGCAGTCAGTCTCAAAAGATCAAGAAAGAAGAGAGAACATGGTACCAGGATAAGAAAAAAAATGTAGACTAGAAAGACACCTGGAATTTATGGGAACACATGGTAGTAGAAGACAACTAGAATTTATCCTTGCCTTATAGTATCTAATAAACTGTACTCCAAATATTATAGTTGTTAGACTTGTAATACTGAAGATTTGATGAACTGTTCTGCCATGATATCTTGTGAATGCATGGATTCTTTTCTTCTGTGAGGTGATACATGGACTGATAAAAGTTGCTTAAAAGTAACATATCAGTGTCCTGGCAGAAGTCCTGTTCTCCTGGATATATTGCGACCACAACCACAAATTCCACTTAAATTGACCCCACCACCCCATATAAATTAAAGTATGTTCAAACTGATGGTAAAAAAAAAAAATCAGATGGAACATTTACATACTTGCAATCTTTCGACAATGTTATCACATTCTTCAGTGAAGTGTACCATTTAAAAAAAGGCATGCTGGATTTTTAACCCAGAGTTACTATTCATAAAACTGTACCCATATGAAGAACTAAAAGCAATAAGTATTAGAAGACCAACCAGCAACTGCTCTCTGAATAACAAAAGTGTGTATATACACATACATACCCCCCCCTTAATTTACATATATACATATACACCTAATTTAAGTGAAGGTTAATGAAAACACCCAAAGCAATAAGCACCAGCTATTTAACATCACTGTTCATAAGCATAGCTGCATTATACAAAATGGGAGCTACTCTGATAAAAATACTTGATGCTAGGACTGCAGGCACTACACATGGAAACAGGCACTGCTGCCAGCCAAACTGCTTCTCAAATATAACTTCTAAGAAAATAAAACTGTACACACAAAAACAGAACAGCAGCTCTGATATATATTGGGGTCTTTTTCCCCTCACCTCCAAAAGCTTTTTCTGCTTTGCTGCCCTGGCTGCTTCACGCTGTGCAGCATATAAAGCCTCTTCTTCTATTCTTAACTTCTCCTCTTGTAAGGCTAACTGTATATAAACAAAATAATAAGGGTTAACAAAAGCAGAACCTATCTATCTTCCTATAAATACAAACATAAGCTTATTAAATTAAAAGAAAATGTTACTCATGAAGACAAACAAAAAATAAAACTGACCACAGCACGTAATCACCAGAAACTTTGATTATCTACAGTATTGTAATTTGATTCTAAGAAAAAAAACTAATGACTCGTTAAATGGATACTTTGAAAACCGTGCAATGTTTTAAATGCATATGTAAGTTTTATGAAGAACACTATAGTGTAAGGTAGAAAATGTCAAACATGAAGCATCTGAATTTTATTTAAATAAAGACATTTAATCTGAAGTGATCCCTAATCCCCACATCATATTCAGTGAGTTGCCACAACAGGTTAAGATGGGTCTATTACGTTTTTCATTGAGAACATTTTTCCTTTTTCCCTGACTACCACACACAGCTCATTCTGCTCTCCCAAGGAAAACTGTTAAAATTTAAGTGAACATTATAAAAAATATTTCTTTCTTAAACACATGAAAAAATAATGCAAAAGCAATTTTCACCACAAATCAAAAGGTCTTGTTCTTTGAGTTCTTTTTTGAAGTAGACCATTATTTTTAATCATTAGACTACTCATGTAATACAAACCATTGCAATTATTTACCTCGGACTGAAGTTTCACATCAACTGCTCTTTGTTTTTCAGCAATGGAATCATAATGCCTCTCTCTCAGATCAGCAATTTCTTCCTCAGTCAGAGGTCTGCAAGAGGAAGGAAAAAAAATGGTGGCACACTTTAGCTCTAAGTCTCCAATTACAGTTTACAAGAGACAAGCTAATAAATGGCAGTTAATTTAGGTCTCTAAACTGTTCAAACAGCCTTGTTTCTCATGGTCTAATTTGACTGTTTTCTTAATCCAAACATAGTAGGAAGCTAAAAGTACAATTCACATCCAAACAGTTTAAAGTCCCACTGAACTGAAGGCAAGTCATTCACTGTGGGTGCCTATACACAAGCATGGCGGCTGCTCTGATGTGCTGTAATTCCAGTATGTCAGAGAAGACTTGATTAATGGAATAATCGAATGGACTTAATTAATCGAGTCTGCTGGAGCGTGTCAATTACTATGCTTCAGCAGCTTCCTGCATCTCATGTATCAGCATCCATGTGCTTAAAAATGGCAGCAGGAATACCTAAACTAAAGCTCGTTTGAAGAGCTTTAGTTCAAGCATCCCTGCCACCATTTTTAAGCCTGGAGAGCTGATACATGAGACACAGCAGTGCTTTAATTAGAGTGACTCTCCAAGTCACTCTAATTAAAAAGAGTTGACCCCCTCCTAACTCCTGGGGCACATGTAAAAGTGCCTTGTGTTTCCTCTCAAACATCACTATATGTCCTGCATGTTGAGACAACCAAAACACCTTTCGTTAGTAAAAAGTTCAAATGAAATTTATAAAATTAAATTAATAAAATTAATACATTCTCCAACAGGTGGACTGGCAGACTAAAATACCTTCCCCACTCCTTAAATTAGTGGAGCTAAAACTGGCAAACAACTGAATGTGTGAAACAGATTACTGTATTTATTCAGTTCTAGAATGAGGTTTTCCCCTTGTTCAACATGGGGAAAACAAAGCCTGGTCTCAGAATCAAGCATCAGACTGCTTCACCTGGGAGCTCTGGGAAGCAGCAGTACAGGGAGCCTGGTTTGACCATGAGACCATCAGCAGCAGTCAAGTTCCTCCTCTCAGCCTGAATCCCCTCTCTCTCTCTGGCAGAGAACAGACACTGGAAGGAAGAATCTGCACACCATTGCTGTTGTCCCTGGCTGAGCTGGGTTCCCTGCACAGTTCCTCCCCACAGCTCCTACCTGGACCAGTCTAACACCCAGCTGACACAGGCATGGGAGCAGCCCAGAGCTGCTCCTCCCGTGTGCTGCAGGGAGAAGCTGAAGCAGCATGCAGCCTCTTCCTTCCAGCCTGCTCTCACTGCATGCAAGGGAGACCTGGCAGGGTGAGTACTGAGCAAAGTGTGTGGGGCAGGCAGAAGCGATGCTACAAACATAATCACTTTTGCACTGCTTGCATACAGCAAAACTACACCTCGAAGATACAAGTTTAATGGAGAGGCAAGATAAAACAAACAACAAAATGGTAACGGAAGTGAAATATAGACAGAACGTCTGCACAGCTTTACCTTGGTACAACTGAAGAAAGTTATTAACTTTAGTTTTTATACCTATATTTTAAACATGACAGCAGTCTTGCTGTATAGATATTAAGCTTTGGTTTATTTATCAGCATATTCATTTAGCTGTTTAGGACTATTTTATGCACAATCAGTTAATGTATTTTAAAACAATACCTACTAATGAAGAAACTTAAATACATCTGAAAAAAAAACCCAAATGTCACAGCCTTTCAATGAAGGAAGGAGAAGTATCAAAAACTAACACAATATATTAGATGATTTTCCTGTTCCAGACTAAAGCAATATTGTCATTTCATTCTAAATTGTCTAATGTTGCGTTAGATTTAATGAATTATTAGAAACAGAAATATAAATGAATAAAATTACCCATTTAGAAGCATATAATAGAAATTTCTGAAACAGATAGCTGAGTGTCAGTATGTGTTCTGACAGGTAAGCTCAGACCTTCTCATACATAACAGAGATGACAGAAAAGTTAATCAGGAAAAAAAGCACTTGAGACAAATAATTCTTACCTCTGACTGCTTCCTGGGCTCTCCCCCTATAATTTAAATTATAAATACAAATTAAACATTTAAATCCAAGTAATTAAGAGGCATGTTACCCAATTAATCTTTAAAATAGAAACAAGTCAATGTTCATTTGACCTTTTTACTGGTGTAGATGGATGCAAAGAGTTTCATCACTGGCTGCTGAAAAAAACCTCCAGAATGCTGAGGACTTCGCAATAAAGTTCCACCTTCCTTATTCTAATGATCTGCTTAGCTACTCAAGTTTTACCCAGCTGTGAACCACACCTGGAACAAGAGTGTTTTTCGTCTTTATGAAAAACGCTTGTTTTCTTTGATGGACTGGGGAACTTTACAATTTTTTTTTTAAGATTACATTGACAACAGTGTCTATCATTACTAGGATGAACTTGCTTGTCACTGAATTTGTAAGGCTTATTTTGGACATTCTTTCAAATACCTCACAGCTTTAGCAAGTCAGTTTATTCTGTCCCTTATCTCCTCAGCAATACAACTTACATAATTCATGCCGTTGTCTGATTCAGACAAAGTACCTTTGGGTACGTCTTTCCATTCCATACTTTCTACATCAGTGTTTTTCAACCTGTGGTCTGCAGACCCCGGGGGGCCCAGAGACAGTATTTAAGGGGTCCATGAAAGATTACTATGATCAATCAAAAGTGTGTGAATACCCACACTTACAATTAAAAGAGGTCCACACCTCCATCTGAAGATTCCAAAGGGGTCCACACCTCCATTTGAAATTTTTTAAGGGTCCAAAAATGAGAAAAGGTTGTAGAACAGTGGTTTTCATCACTGATCTGTTCATTTAATTCTCCATTACAAAGGGAGAAGAGACCTAGGCAATCCCTTCCCAGGGGAGGCTGCAATTTCCTAGCTTGTCTTGTTCTAGAAAAGTATAGATTAGAACTTTATCTAAACACTTCTGAAGAGCTAGATCAGAAAAAATTTTCCTTTTGGCTTTTGTGCTTGTTGCTCTTTGTTTCTTGTTTTTGATGCTGTCCAGTAGAACTAAATACTACAAATACCTCACCAAAGAAATTTGCTCCAGTCAAGGCAGTAGTATTTTTTTGGCAGATTCAGGACTATTAGATTTGAATACCTTCATTAGGAATTTATTAGGCTAAGTTTAAAAAGGTCTACAATTATGTAAACTGGACAAAAAAAAGTTGTGCAGCAGAAGTCCTTTTTCCATATGACTGCAGATATAGAATCAATAAGAAACTAACGAACTATATAATCAGTGACCTACCTCCTTGCATTTGGCTTAAGAAATGAAGTTCAGGGCACAAGAGAGCACTTCTAAGGCGCATACTACTAGAAGGGGTTCAGTACAGCCTCCAAAGCTTCTATAAAAGTTCAAATTAGAGCCTGTAATAGTTTAGGGCCCAAACTAACATTCCTCAAATTGCCCATATAAACACAGTATTGACAATGTTAGTGCTCTTACATTTCAGTTGACTGACTATTTTTAGTTATGAAGGACACACACACCCCCCTCTGAAAAATCTGATTTCAAAATACCCACAACTCCTCCCCTCTCCCAAAGGACTGCAAGAATCTGTGCTTTTTCTTTGCTATCCCTCTTCCACTCAAAAACTGTTCCCAATCAGAAGAATATTATTTACAGTACTAGCATTCTGGGGAAGGAAACTTAATGGTTTAAATAGCAGCAATTCCATTCCAAATAGATCAGTGCATGAGTTGATTACAACTAGGTTGGAGATATTAATCTTAGGACTACATATAATTAATAAAAAACACGTTTTACAACTAGGTTTTATAATACAGCACAGAAGTACTTACCTCATCACTTTCCACTAGATTTTCAAACTGCAAAGAGAAAAAAAACAAAGACTTATTGATAAGCCTGGTCATTCTGATACACTGTACTTCTTTTAATATAACATACTTGTTTGTTTGGTTTATGTTACAGAGATGTTACATAAAGACAAAATATTTATCAAAATAACTGCAAAAAATAGATATTATGTTTTGTCTGATCAACATCCCTACAAAACCTAATAACCAGGAATCTGGGTTTTGTTTCCTGCAGAAAACCAGAAAAAAACATGGATTTTCCCTTTTAACTGAGAAAAGCGCAGATTTTTCATTTTAACGGGGAAACATGCAGACTTGTCACTTTTGCAAAGAGCTAAAGAGCTTCTTGCAGGCTGGCAAAGTCCCGCTGGGGGGGGGGGGGGGGGG